TATATATATATATATATATAAAATGATATAATAAATAATCGTAGTGATGATAGAACAGACACAGGCTATGTCCTACAGTGAAGAGAAAGTGTCTAGGACTTGTTCCAGAGGCGTTCTTGGAATCTGTGTTATCTGATCAGTTTAATCACTATATTAAGTATGTATATTGGCTTTATTGAGATAAAACACAACCTGCCTGTCTAAGCCGCAGGTGCATGGCTTCCAATGTGCCCGCAGAGGAGCAGCTACCACTGCCACCACTCCGAGGGCATCATCACCCCAACAAGAAGCTCTGCACCTTCCAGTGGTCACTCCCCACTGGAGGACCCACCCAGCTCCCAGCAACTCCCTTTCTGTCTCAGTGGATTTATCTATTCAGGACATTTCGCTCAAACAGAATCATACGACATGTGGCCTTTCATGTTTGGCTTATTTTTCCAATAAATACATTTTGTTGTTTGCTTTTTATTGGTGTTTATGATCACGCATAATGGTGGGATTCACTGCCACATATTGTGTGGCTTCTTGTACTCCTATTTCCAAGGTTCATCCACAGCCTGTCAGTAAGTCCTTCCCTTTTAAGGCTAAAACATATTCCCTTAAACAGACAGACCACATGTGCTTATCCGTTCATTCACGGATGGCCCAGACCGCAGCCTCCACCCAGCCTCTGCCCAGCACAAGAGTTCTGCATTTTCAATGATTCTCAAACAAAATGTGCACCCTCCCGGCCCCCACTTTCACTTTCCCTCCTCCTGTAGGGAAACGCCGGCAGCGACTGCACCCAGCTCACCTTCTCCTGGGCCGACTGGACCATGCTGGAGACTTCTCCAACGGCCAGCTCCTGGAGCTGTGGCCGTGCATCCTGCTGGAAGGAGAGCTGCAGAGGGCCCTGCAAGACAGAAGCAGCGTGAGGAGGAGCACGTGCAGGAGGGCCTGGCCTCTTAGAAATTACATTTGCTGTGAAGTTCTACAAATTTAGGGAAATACACCCAGACATAACAGCCATGGTTCAGTGGCTCGCACCCCATGGGTCTGCCACGGCGCAGCACTCAGCCCTCTGCAGGCAGGATCCCGGGGAGGGAAGGACGGCACAGAACACACAGAACACACCAGAGGCTGGTGCAGTGGAGTCAGCACAGGTCTGTGGATGCGAAGGCTCGCGGTGGAAGGGAAGGACCACAGGCCCCATAGGGCTCCTTGAGCGCCCCGCAGGCCTGACAGGCCGCTGGCCCGGCCACAGGCTGAGGGAGCCACAGGTCCCACTGCACAGGTACCACCCCACGCTCCTTTCCCACTGCTGGGCATCCGGGTGGGAGGCATCCCAGGGCCAACCTCCCTGTGGAATCAGGGAGGGCACACAAGACCCCTGCACTAGAAGGAGCCAGCCCAGTGGCTGTCCTCAGTCTCTGCTTCACAGCCCTCCAGAGCTGCCAGGCTCCTGCCCCTCTGGCCTCACAATTCCACTCTGCCTTTGGCTCCATGCGTTCTCCCGTATCCTCGCAGTAAACTCTTCCAGAGCTTACTTAAGTGAGCTCGCATCCACTTTGGTTTTTGCAATATAAAATGCCCCAAATGAGAGAGGTACAATTAAATTAATATGATCACAAAGCAACAAGATTGATGCTTTTTCCTAGGAGTAGTTCACAACTCGAATAGCCAACCAAGTCTTGTCCCTTTAAAAACGGGCTCTTGAGAGGCCATGCAGGCCAGCAGTAGGACAGGGACCGAGTCTTCTTTAACTCTTTCTGACATGCTGCAGAAAGCAAGTCCAGACTGGGAGGTTAAAGACCCAGCCCACAGCTTCCTCCTGCATCCACTTCAGAGACTCCATCACGCTGAATCAGCTCCAGCTGTGAGGCTCAGCCAAGGGCGAGTCCCAGCCACCCCGGCAAGTGCAGTGCAGATAAGCCAGCAATGAAGTGAGCCTGTTGTTATTTCTTAAGAATTCCCCGTGATCAAGAACAAACCTACAGGCACAGATCATTTCAATTTACATTCAATTTAATTTCTAACCTCACCCTGTTCCACATCTACCTCACCCCCCAAAATCTCCAGGGGATAATTAAATCTTCTCGAGAGGGATGAAATCATTCTTTTAGGCTGCTCTGCTGGCTGGGGCTTGTTTGGGTGGCAGCTGCTGGCCAGGGGCACCATGAACTTGATCGTGACACTGCTCTGTGAGCTCCCTGCCCGGCTGAGCGAGCAGCACCTGGCACAGAGGCCCATGCCGGCCAGGGCAGTTCGCAGGAGACGTCCAGCTGCTGAACTCAGCAAGCAATACAGTGCACCTTCTGCAGCAGCCTGAAGACACAGCCCCACTCACTGCCCAGTGTGGACTCAGGATCCGGCACACGGGGCAGGTAGTGCCCTTCCTACCTGTTGTAACTTCAGGGGTTAAAACCTTGAGAAGATTTTTCTGGGAAACTTGATATCAAGTGACATTCTCACAAAGGAAATAAATTATTAACCTACACTCAGGACAGGGAGATTGCCTTTGCCTTTTCTTTTCTAGTCGGCCTACCCATGGCAGGGCAGGAGCAGAGCCAGCCTGCACCCCGCTGCTGTCCCGCCCAGGTGGAGATGCGTCCACTGCACACTCCTCCACTCTGCCTGCACTGAAGGAGGGCTTCACATCCCCATGGGAAAAGATGCACCCAAGAGCGGCCAGGAAAACACTGAGGGAGATGAGCAGGGCACTCCCCTCACCCCACAGACGTTAAAACACACCCCAGAACCCCTGAATTAAAACCGTACTTCTGGGACAGAGAGCAAACAAATGGGCCAGGAGACTGGAAGAGAACCCCCAGCATAGACCAAGTGCATGTGGAAACTTAGTACAGGCACAGCCTTCCTCATCCTAAAGTCCCCAAATCTGAAACCCTCCAAAATTTGAAACATTTGGTGCTGACCTGACTCCACAGGTAGAAAATTCCATTCCATGAAACTTTGTTGCAAGAAATTATTCAAAATGCTGTATAAGTTACCTTTAGTCCTCTATGTATATAAGGTGTACATGAAACAAATGAACTTTGAAGACTTAGGTCCCATCCCCAAGATACCGCATGTTTATGCAAATATTTCAAAATCTGAAAATATCCAAAATACTTCTGGTCCCAAGCATGTAAAATAAGGCATATTTACCTGTAAATGGAAAAAGTGGCATCCCACACCATGGGGTAAAGGTGGATTTTTTAAAAATCTGGATGTGGGATAGCAATTCAGAGATTGCCTCATGTGTGCACCAGGGTGAGAAGGAAAACACGTCAGAGGCTGTAAGTACAGGTGTCTTAATCCTGGGGAAGGAATTAAAGATGAGAAAAGGAGAAGGAAAGAGGAACTGAGGCCAATGGATCAGTATACATTCAGGCTTGAAAGAAATACAGGTAGAAAGACACAAGAATGTGACATGTGTGCATGTGTGTGGCACACCCGTGCTGTGCCCCACTCTGCCCACTGGAAGGGTCTGGAAGCAGTGGGAGCCACACAGTGGCCAGCACACCCAGCGCCAGAACTTAGATTCTAAACACTATCCAACAAATGGGACCTCAAGGCCCCGAAGAAGTGCGTGGGTCCAGGACCCAAGGAGAGGACAACACAAGGGGAGTCTTCAGAATAGAAAAAACCCCCGTGGAACCACAAAGCAAGGAAATGGGGAAGGAGAAAGAAAGTGAGCTTAATGGAAGAACACAGAAACTCCCAACAGCCCAGACGAGAGCGATCTAAGTGGCACCGTCCATGACACAGCATTGGGTCACAACCTGCAGAACAAACACACACCACAAGTGATGTGCAGAGCCAGCTCAGCACAGAGGGAAAGGCAGGGCTCCCCTGTGGTACTGGGCAGTCGCAAGGGCAGGAGGAAAGAAGGAAGCAGAAAATCTCCGCTAAGTGAACTCCCACTAAGTATGTGTGAAAGAGAAGGTGCACAGAGCGAGGCTGAACCCAGAGGGGAGACGTGGGAGGAGCAGTGGGATTCGTATAGTCTCAAAGTATCTCCCCAAGAAGTGTCAACACAGGGGAGACAGAGGCTCATCAGCTGCTGGAGGAGAACCCTGCCAGAAGCCACCTAACCAGAGAGACCGAGTCTGATATTCCCAGTGACAGGTCACACTAGCATCAGGGCCCCCTGATACAGTGACTAACGGGGGACACTGTTCTGAGTCTGTTGTAACCATGGTGCACATGGGAAAACACCAGACAAACCGAGGCACGTTCAGCAAAGCAATGATCCATGTCCTTCAGTGTCACCAAGGTCGAGAAAAACAAGGTCGAGAAAAACAAGGAAAGACAGAAGCACCTTGTAGGCTGCCGGAGATTCAGGAGCAGCAACTGAATGTCACTTGGGCCTGAGGCACCTTGGAACAGTAAGAGGAAAGAAAACCTGTGAAATTCAAATACAGTTTTCAGTTCCAGTTATTAGACATGCTGGGGATGTTCACTTGGGTGCTGTTACGTAAGTTCATTGTTATTAATTACAGTCACAGCGAGGGAGGCTAACTTCTGGTACTACTACAATGTTAACTTCTCTGTTACAAACTACGGCAACTTTGTACCTAAGTTAATTCTTGGCTGGGAACATTATGTTGCTATTATGGAAGGCTGGGGAAGGAATAGATGGACTCTCTCTGAATAATTTTTTTTCTTACTTTTCTGCAAATCTAAAAGCATTTCAAAATAAAGACTAAAAAAAGGAGGCTTTACAAGACAGCAGTCCACCTTCATCAGCTCATTACATACCAGGCATTTTGCTAAGTGCCTCCCAGAGCCCACCTCATCTCTACAGAGTGGACTGTTTTCTGGATAAATCATTCCCTTGTAAGGATGATGCACAGAGAGGTCAGGGCTTGCCCATGATCAACCAACTGCTGCATGCAGAGCTGCGGGCTCAGAGCCTGGTGGCCCACCCCAGCACTGCCACACAGGTCCTCCAGGTAGCCAGTGGTGGGCCCTGCCCATGGCAGTGCAAGTCAGCTTTGGCTGGACTGGGTTGGCGCTGGCACTACGCTTGCTCTCCTGGCCTCCTGCCTTGTTGGGAAAATGGGTGAGGACATATAGAGCCACAGAACTGGCGCCTGTTCCTGGCCCCCATGATCTGCAAAGTCACCGCAGCTTCCTTTAATGTTGATTCTTCAGGAGTGGAAAACAAAGTCCATTAAACAGCATATTCTGATGGGGCTGGCCAGCTCCCAAGCCAGAGGCCCATGTCCAGAAGTGCATGGTGTGCATGGCCACTGTGTCTCCCCTCCGCCACGCTTGCCGTTCAGCCCACTGCTGACGAGGGTCTGCTCAGAGCCAGAGTTGAGCAGGGCACCAGGCCCAGCTCTGCCAGGACAGACCCGTCTCTACCCCAGCTCACCATGCAGGGAGCTGAAGAGGGCACAAGTGCCACCAGGTACAACCAGGGGGCAGTCACAGGTTGCCCAGATGGGGACAGGGTGGCATCTTTGCAGAATCAGATTCCAGCACCTCTGAGCTGAGATCTGAAAGATTTAGAAAAGGCAAGTGAGGGGAAGGAGATGAGCATTACGAGGAATTACGGAACAACTGCTGGAAGGTCTGAGCCACAGAGAGGAGGGCATGGCAGGAGTCACTGGGGAGGGCACAGTCGGCTACTGGCTGAGGGAACGGCAGGCCCAGGGCCCTCACCCTGAGTGGCCAGCACACTCTTCCCAAAGGACTTCCACACTGTGGCCGCCATGGTTGGTCAAGGAGTTTGGGTTTTTGTAAGCACAACTGGAAGGTCATGGTGTGATGGGAAGGCTCTGCGGGCTGTGGCCACTTTGTTTACTGAGCTTCAGAAGCTCACATGGACATGAGCACTATTCATAGCTTGTTCTGAGTTCACACAGCATCTGTTTCTCACAGAGACCGCAAACCACCCATCTTCTTGTTCGTCTCATTTAGAGCATTTCTCTGAAGAAATCCTGGGCTGAAGGACTAAAGAAACTGTCCTGATACAGGACAGGCAGTACAACTAGGCAGGCCCATGGCACCAGCAACAGAACACGACTCTTGCTCTGGGACTGTGCTGCCACTGACACACGGACCCAGGAGCATCCGCCTCAGGAGGAAGCTCTAGCAGACACCATGGGGCCACCTGTGACAAGCAGGCTGTCTTCCAGAGCCAGGGAGGCTGGACACAGCGATGCCAGGGTTCACGGGGGCTGGGCATGGAGTGCACTGTTGTAGCTGCTTATTATCATGAATCATCTGAAGTGTTTGTGTGGAGGCAGGTGAGCACCAGAGGAAACCTGCAGGGTTGCCTTTGGATGATACAATACTAGTCCTCAGTCCTGGGCGTCCTGAGCGGAGACAGTGCCGCCTCTGAGATGGGTTCTTCCTGAAGAAGTGTGCTCAGGTCAGTGGGCATTGTTTTGCTATGCTAGACGGAGAGACAGGAGAAGCAACATTGCGACCACCACCTGGAGGGTGAAGGGGGACAGACTGATGTCCGGCTTAGGGACAGGTGTGTATACAACAGCTTCTACTGATGAATCTCAGCCCATAGGAAGCCCCTGGAGGATCTTGTGAAAAATACACTGCGCTTCCCACATTCCTGCCCTAAGAGTGTGAGCTGGGTGGGGAGAGCAGGTATTGCTAAGTTCTCTGGGTGACTCTCCTGTGTCCACACATAGCAATGACGAGCTGGCAGACCAGGGGTCGTTTCCTCTCCTGTGTGTCCAACTCTCTACCACATATAATGACAACTACTTCTGGAATGAGGGTCAAAATCCGGGGTCCCCTCTGATACAGGGAACCTGCCCTACTTTTGCCACTGGTCATCAAAGCACAAAGCAGACTCCATGAGCCATTGCTCAACCCTTGGATCCCAGGAGACACTGGCCCCATGTTTCAGGATGAGACATTAAACAACCCTACCCTTTAGCCCTTCTTACTGGACCTCATTCAAAGAAAACATTAGGGTCTCAAGTTGAATTTGGTTCCCACGGGGGAACATGACTGCAGTGGAGAATGTAGTGGAGAGGGCAGCCCAGGCTCCAGGCGGCCCTCGGCGGCTCCCTCCAGCTAACAAGGTCGGCATAGATTCCAATGGGGGAAGAAAGAGGCTCAACCAGAAAAGCTTGGTTCCTTTCCATGTTGAGATACAAAGCTGGGGTGAAACCTGGAATGGGAGGGTTACTGTTGCCCTTGGATAGAAAATTCTACTGTTCATGGAACACGCTGGATATCACCAAGTTATTACCAGCATCTCCCCATCCTGCAAGTGACAGACCAAGAGTTGGTCTCTCCCCTGGCTGGGATAGAGTGATAGCAGGACTGGGAGGGGGAGCTAAGCTTTGGCCCTCTGGCCAGCAGGCTGGGAGTGCCAGCCCTAATCGGGGATTAGTGGGAGTCCAGGTGGGGGAGGGAACTCCTGCAGGCATGGCCATTGGGGTCAGGGCACCCACCAGCACTGACACCAGCACCTGCTCGCCCACACTGTCATTACTGTCACAACAGTGATGGCCCAGGACATTGGGAGGGTGGCACATCAGTAGCAGGGAGACAGTAGCTAGGATCCTATCTGCCTATAAACCCTGTATTTGAATTGAAATCAAGCAACACTCCCAGGCACCGGCTCAGGCAGTGACACTACAGACTGGTCCATGCAAAATGCTACGGGAGACTCTGGGCTGCTTTGAGCTCAAACCCAATAAGTACATGATTGCTGGTGCGTAAGGCTGCAGTGTGTGGCCAATAGCAGAGAGAACAGAGAAATGCAAACAGCCCCACCTCCTTCCTCCCTGAACACAACGCCCAGCTCCCACAAGAAGGCTCCAGTGATTCAGGTGAAAGGTTTTCATCCAACCCCCTCAAATCTTTCCCTGGGGAGCCTCAGACTTGTTTGACCAACCCAAGACCAAGGCCAGTCAGGGACTTCCTCCTGTCTCTGTTGACACGATAGCACAGGGCAACCTGGAAGCTTTGCACCTAAGGGAGCATATTTCTGGAAGCCAATCAAGAAATGACAGGAAATAAAGCCGACATCCCCAACTTGCAGAAGGCAGGGCCACTGGCTCTGGGCCTGAAACTCTGCCAGGAGTCCCAGGGTCTGGATCCTACAGATCACTCACCCAACAACCCCTGAGCTCCAGAGAACAGGAACATGATGTGCACAGTCCCAGGCCACCAACCTGAAGAGGATTCAGCACCAGAACAGGTCTGTGACCAGGTCAGTCAAAGTTCTGTGACCCATGTTTACTTCCAGGCATGAGGACACAGGTCTCGTGGGCTGAAGCAGGTGGATGTCCAGTTCTGGACAGCTGGGGCACCAATTCTAGTCACCAAGACAGACCTCTGTCAACTGACCTGTAGACCTTTTATTTATCATCCAAAAGGTATGGTTATGTTATTCAAGCATTAGAACAAAGTCTCTTGAGTTGTTGGGCTCAGGCTAATTTATACTCTGACCCTTTTTGCTTTGTAATTCCATGGCCACATGTGCCAAGGCATGACACAGACACTAGGCTCAGGGTGGTTATGGAGCATCTTGAAGGTTGATGGGTCCAGAAACCAGCATTCCCTTTTTCCAAGGCCAGCGGCCACTGTCTGCACAATGAGGTTGCACAAGCAGAGGCACACACCCCTGAAGGCAAGAAGCAGCCAGGTCTGCCAGAAGTGCTTCCCCCACCCCAGGGGCCTCGCCCGCTGTGGAAGGCCTCCAAATAGCAGACGCCATGCCCCAAAGTGTCAGCAAACTAAGATGTCTTAAAAGTAAAATAAGTCACCAAATAATTAACAAGAAAGAAACAACAACAGGAGTGTGAGGTGGCAGTTAAGTAGCAAGCCCACAGCCTGAGCTCGGAATAAGCTAGGTTCATGTCCTGCCTGTGCCACCACAGGGTGCATGACCTGATCCTCTCCCGGCCTCAGTTTCCACACCTGTAAAATGGTGAGGGCACCTGTGCCCTAGGCGTGTGCTGACTTGGAGATGATGTGTGTACCCGAAGCCCCCAGTATAACACCTGGCCCAAACTGGACACTAGTTTCATATACTCAGAAATGAAAGCCTTTTAAAAAACAAAGAAATTCCAGGTGGAGTTCAGTGCGATTAGACAGGGAAGCACATTTAGATCACAGATACTCGTTTATCAGGCGCAAGATCACTGCATGTCCCACGGGACTGGACGCTGGAATCCACCAGGGAATCCAGACAGGGAGGTTCAGCTGGAAAGGGACGGGCCCTCTGGTGCGGTCCTCCAGCAGCCTCTATCCCCGCACAGCCCAGGCCCAGCGCTTTTGGGGTTTGGGGTATTTAATGGACCCTCCACCGAGGGTCCTCGATTCTCCTGGCCCTTCTCCTAACTTTCTCGGAGGTCTGCCAGGCGGGGGGTGGGGAAGGCTCACTTAGGGTCAGCCAGAGGCTGTGGCAACGCCTCCAGGGAGGAGGGCTCTCCCCTCGCCGCCTGCACCAGTCAACCGCTGTCCCTCGACCCCAACGGGCTCTCCTGGACACTCACCCCTCTCTTTTTGGCCTCCTGGTTCAGGGCGATCACCCAGGCTGTCTGCCACTGGCTCCTCCAGCTGTTCAGCGTCAGGATCCAAGAAAGAAGCGCGTCCGACTCCGGGCGCTGCTCTGCTTCGGGCTCCGCCCGCCGCCGCGGCGGGGGTCGCGCCCTGGCCAGCGCCCACTGCGTCAGGTACAGGCCCACCGTGACCAGGGCCGCGACGAAGAGCGACACCAACACGAACCACTGGACCTCACCGAGCCACCAGCCCAGCCGGGCCATGGTGATGGCGCATACCCGGCCCGCCTCGCCCAACTTCCCCGAGCAGCCCCCGGGCCGGGACGCAGAGCCCGCTGGCGGCGAGCTCAGGACATCCGCTGG